AGGGCCATCCACTCCGGAGGGTGAGTCTTTTAGGATTTAGGCTGCCGATTGTATCCACAAACCTTAGCACAATGGACTTGTTCCACGCTAATAATTAGGATTACCATGATGACAGTCGTGTTTACCACGCTGAAATCCACATATATGAACAGAGTGTGTGCATGTACCTTAACTTCAACTGCATATCCAGAAGTGATCGGATCAACTCTTCTCCTTTCCTGCTGTATATGGATTTTGATTGATTGTCCAATTCCAATCTGCTCCCTGTCATCAAAGTCCACTAACGTCGAACTCTAAATAGACCGTTTGTGGTTGTAGGAATCTCTTAAGCAAGAACTTAAAAAAAGCCATGGAAAAGTAGAAAACAGTAAGGTATGGTTGTCACTTAGGATGGAAAAGAGACTTTCACACTTGCATTCCTGTGGCTATCTCTCTTGGCTGGCTCTGCTCATCTTGCATTCCTATGGTTGACATGGTCAAACCTGAGTTTCCCATTCCATGTAGAGACTAAAGAAGAAAGCCACTGGATCACTGTGTTTTGATCGTTGATGTTCTATGAAGGAAGAGTTACCAATTTATTTTTTCAGGTGAACATCACAAAGAAGAGAGAAAGTTGAGTTCAGGACCTCGGTTCAGAGCAAGCACATCGGCACCAAGATTGCATCGGTGAACATGTAAGTACCTAATCAGCTAGCTTTGTGTCTTCTTTGTTCGATTCTGACAAATAGATCAAGACTTGGTTCTCCTTGGTGTCAATTCATCACCTAGATAAAGGCGTGAGTCCCTTGGTGTCAGTACCTATGAGTTTATTCACCCATAGTTGTAGGAGTAAGTTCTTGATGGGTTGGATCTTATCTCTAAAGAATATAAGAGATGTGTGTAGTTGCAGCATCACTTATTGTTGTGATGTACAAGGAAGGCCAGATGTTGGCTTGTGTGAATTTATATCTTAGCAGTAATAGTTGCTGAGTTGTTGTGTGGCCTGAAAAATACCAGCCAGGGATTTTCACTCCGGCTGGTTCAAACCTGAAAATGTTTTACTCAGGATCAAACATCACTGCAGACCTTAGAAGTTCAGTGTGTCGGTGACATTGGTATGGTGTAAGCAATTAGCCAGAGACTAACCATGTCTTATGTTTTCTATCACTATGTTTTATGTCTTTAATAGCTAAAGAGAGGACGGAAATAGTTACTTGAATTTGTATGTCTGGTGTTTCCCTTAGATGCTACTGCAATTTCGGAACCGAGTCTTGTGGTCTGACATGAATATTTCTCCCCCAAATATATAATGAGAGTTTGCTCAATTCTTTCAATATAATGGCATGTTTCTTGGCCCCAACAGGGAAAATGGTATGCTTTACTGTTATAGTTACATTCAAACTTTCCAGATGCTAAATCAACTTATATCTATGCACGTATTCATAGAACCTGTAAATTTTTATTTTCTGTTCCTTATTTCTTACTCGCTCACTCACTAAGCATAGGTATAATTGGAAACAACTTCGCCAGTTCTGTAAAACCCAGGAGTTGAAGTCCAAGTAAATGATCTAAAAAAGCATCATTAAAATTAAATAAATCATTGAATCTGGAAGGGATCGAATCACTGAATCACTGAATGGCCTATACCATCATGCATACTGTTGTTGCATTTGTGTGGATTCACATGCATGTTTTCGTTGTTCCTTGAGGTTGTGAAAGTCCTAATGTGTAAGCCTTTTCAATAATGCCACTGTAATTCGAGGTTGACTGGGACATGGTTTCGAGTTTGACTGTGATATTTTTTGGGCGCTTCATTCACTCATGATGTAAGTTAGACCCAAATTTTGTGGCATGTCCATTTGTTGATGTAGTGAAAGTTAAAATCTGGGGAAAAAATATGGTCTCATGATGTAAGTTAGTCCATCCTGAGAGTCGTTGGTTTCTGTTTACTAGGTTGCAACATCTATGTTGATTGCAATAAGAGGTTAATATTAGCATGTTGTCTCATTATTTTTTTTAAAAAAAAATGTTCATATGTACTGATGGAGACTTGAAAATATCAGGTGCAGGCTATATCAGTTTGTTCGAATTTTTATTTTTCCCTTGCTATGAAGCAATGCACAAGCCACTGACTTTTTGGGTTTCCGAACATATTTCCTGGCTTTGTTTTGCATGATTTGTATTGCTTTGTTTTGTCCATTCTCTGATTGCTAATGTTTTTCATCTATGTATGTTCGAATTACATGTTTCCACATAGTCGCATTGCATCAAGCAGGCCAACTATATCCAGAATTTTCTGATTTACAGCATCACTCATTGTCACACTCGTCAAAGGTTGTGGTGACGCTGGCTATTGAGAAGGGCAGCCATGCTGCTGAGAAGGGATGCTGTCTGTGGAGAGAGCTGCGGGAGATGAGGGAAAAGTGACAGAGAATCTGTGTGTTGTGTGTTCTCGATATTTTCAGCTCATCACCCGAATGCTCGCTCCGGTCGAGAATCATGAAGCGAAGGGTTACCAAACAGGCTCCAATTTGTTTTTATCTCTTGATTATAGCCAGATGTTTTCCCTTGTGTCTATCAGGTTCTAGCACATTGTTACGCTGGGAGAATTGGTGGCCTTGCATATTGTTTTGTTGTTAGTGTTTTTGTCATTTTGTTACGAATTTCTGAAACATGAATGGCTACCGTTATGTATAAGTGGAGGAAGATTTACGTCATGGAAATCCAAAACACGTATATAGAAGCAATTTTAAATAAAAGTGTATTTTATGAGATAACAAAAATGAAAATTTTATGAGCATAAAACAAAAAAATCTTTCCTATGGATAGGAAAGTATCATTTTTTCATGTTGCAACATACGGGAATTGCAAATTATAGCGGTCCGAGCTTAAATTTCCTATATGGATAGGAAAATTGTCGCTTTCTTGACGTTTTTCAAATCTTTGTTAACAGTATTACCCTTGTGACAGACACTAATATTTACATATATATACTCAAACCTATGTAAAGGATGGTACGGAGGTGCGGCGGAACTTATTCGTGAACTTATTGACGCACGAAAGAAATGGATATCGAAGATTTCTTCCGATATAAAACATTATCTTAGCCGCATCATGAAAATGTCTATACATTAGAGTTTGTGAGTCTGCGACGCTGCGCTCTTCATGACTGTGTTAATTTCACGAACTTTGCTTTTTTTATTAAATATCACTTTAACGTCGGTATTTAATTTTACAGTATTGTTATCTTATCGTGCGATCCGTGTGTTTTTAGTACAAAAATTTAGATGTCCCGTAGTAACGCACGGGCACGCTACTTAGTAATTCTTTAAACATTAAATACATCGAAGGACAATTAAATTACACTACTATAGAGAACTGATAATCACTGTCGGATCGGCAGTGATGGAGCATCACAGTCGGCTCATGGCTTCATTCAACTAGCAGTGATAGGACCACCAACGTTGATAGGTGGACTATCACTGCTGGTTCGTGGCTTCAACCGATAGTGATAGGTTGTGTACTGTCAATGCCGGTTAAAGCCACGAACCGGCAGTGATAGTCCACTTATTATTACTGGTTCGTGGCTTGAACCGATAGTGATAGCCGTTAAACAAAAAATTCATAACTTTTTCATATGAGATCGGATTAAGATAGAATTTATATCAAAATTGTAGAGTTTAAGAGATCTAAAACTTTGTGGTGGACAACTTTTTCATTTGAGATGATTTACAAGTCCAAATATTTAATATAAGTTCTTGGATCATATTTGACATTATTAACAATGTCGAATAGAGGTAAAATCAGCATCAAAGTTATAGTACTCGACGAGATCTGCATCTTTGCAGTTAACGACTTTTTCATCTGAGTTTGTTTTGAGTGTCATTCAATATATCCACCAAGTAGTCGAGAGATACCCTATCCAGTTTGGGCCTCCTGCATAACTTATTTCGGGGCAATCTGTTCTGGCTGGGTGTTTTTTTTTTGGATATCTGGGCCCATAGTATCGATAAGAAGATATGAGATAGGGCCTAGGGGGATGAGGAGAAAATAGATATATGATTGGACAGTCCTATTTTAAAGAAACAATTCATTGAAAAATATGATTTTTTTTCTGTAGTGTCTATATGACTTACAAGTATGAAAACTATCTCGTAGTTTCTAGTTTGAGACTGTCCTAATCGTGAACATGAGTTATATATTTCTATAATAATTATTAATCCATCAGTCTAGTCTGTCTATGTAAGAGCAACTCTACACGAGCCCTCAAATTAGGATCTTACTTTTGGCATGAGGGCTCTCCTTACTTTTTAAGGTCTGATTTTTTTCACCTACTCTAATAGGAGCCCTTAAACAAGGGTCCTCAAATCCATTCTAGTAGGCGCTGGCATATAGGATCCACTCATAATTAGACCATATCTACCATCGTTCCAAATCTACTGAGCTATAGGTGCGCGAGGAGGACGAGGAGCATCGCAAACAACAAGCAGAGAGGAGCCGAAGTGGGGTCAGGTGCCTCGCTGTGAGGAGAGAAGCTGTATTGAACGTGCCTCACCGGGGAGGGGGCGGACGTCGGAACCGCACCAGGCCGAGGGGCTTCACTGGGGGAGGGGAATAGGGCGGCGACGTGAAAGAGAGTTGTGGGACTAAAAGATGCGTGAGAATGAGTTGGGGGGTTCCTAGGAAGAAGTGTGGAGCTCCCTACACACCCCTCAGAGATGTGGTCGAGGAGGAAGTTTAGCGACATTCATAAATTACAGTAGGGATTCGAGTTGGACCCTTGTTGAATTAAGTTTTTTTCTATGATACTAAAAAATTATAATTGGGTCCCCTTATGGAGATGCTATAATGAAATTAGGTGAGGATCCTCCCCCTCTACCTGATTTTAAAAAGTTTCTATCAATTTAAGCTTTTATAAATTGAACTTATCTATGCATGTAATGTTTAACCAAATGGAAAAAGGAACAAAGCAAGCTCGGAGTAGGTTCAAGTGCCTACATACGGCGCCTATTTGACAAATGCTACCACTGACTGTCACGGCATTGATTCACAAGCTTTATGCCCCAGCTGACGTCCACGCAGCGCCAGATGTAGGACGTCACCTTGTCCAGCTCCACGTCCCTCCTCACCGTGCAGTCATAGGACGACGGCGAGTGGAAGCACGGCTCGACGGAGAGCGCGCGCCGGCATGGAGGTTGTGGCGCCGCCTGACCCTCCGTCCACTCCTCCCACGGGGACGGCCTCGACATGACCCACGGCTGCAGCCCGCCGAGGCCCTGTGCGACGTACCCGAACGTGGAGAAGCCACTGGTGACGAGCACGTCGCACATGATGCTGAGCAGGTACATCTCGCTCAGCGCCTTCACGTCGTGCGCTTCGTTGCGCAACCGCTGCCGCCCCTCGTGGCTCGGCTGGTGTACGCCGCCGGTGAGTCTGCCGCCGTACTCGCCCTTGAGCCTCTCGTAGTACCACGAGCTCAGCGACGTCACAAGGACACCGTAGGACGACGACGTGCCGTTGTATTTTGTGGTCGTCTCCGGGAGCAGCTTCTCGTCGCGGACGCAGGACAGGAGCTGGTCCAGGATTTGCTGCGGCGGCTGCTTCTCCTGGAACACCCTGATCTGGATGCCGACGAGGCGGCCGGCGCCTGCGAGGTTGGCGCTGTAGTAGCTCGTGACAGCGCGCCAAGACGGCGTTGCTGGGGTGGAAAAGGTACCGACCCAGGTGGTAGAACGCGGCGTCTTTCTCCGGGAACATGGCCTCGAGCTCTCCGACGAACGGCGGCGTGAAGAACAGCCCGGCACGAAGTAGCCGTCCGCCCTCATGAGCAGCCACGGCACTCCGCGGAGGAGCCGCTGGTGCTCCCCGCAGTAGAAGAGCTTGTCGTGGAAGCCGTACTCGCCAGCGAGGTGGAGGTACACATATGGCGGCGGCTGCGGTGGAGACGGCCACGACATGTTCCCGTCGGCGGACACGCCGGCGGCGCCTCTCTGCAGCATGTTCCCCAGGCTCTCCTTGGACCCCCCCGTGGTAATCATCGAGCTTCCTGAGCGGGGAGCGGCGACCGGCGCGCGGCAGCAGCCACGTCGCGCCTGGGAAGGGCTCGCAGAAGAGATCGGCCACATCATCCTTGCCTCCGTTGACGAGGAGGACGCGCTCTGTAAGCACCGCGTAGAGGAAGGCCGACGCGACGGCGAGCACCCGGTTGCCGAGGCCTCGGAATCGGAAGCTGATGTTCACGAGGTACCGGCAGTCTTCGTCGTCCTCGACGTCGGCAGCGTTGGATTTAAGCCGCCGGAGTGCCTTCTTGTACGCGGCCGTGCCGGGGCCGCATCCCTTTTGGAGCGCTTCTTGCTTCCGCAGCTTGGCGAGGAGGTAGGGTGATGGCTGATGCGATGATTTCTTGTGGTAACCGGCGAACTCATATCGGCTCCGGCACGACCGGTAGCCGAACTCAGCCGTGAGAAGGCCGTCGAGGAGATGGTCGGCGGTGAGGTTAAATGGAGGTTTGTCTTCAAAACCTGATTCGTCATTGCACATAAAGAAAAATTAGAACGTACGTAATAATAATCACTATCTATTCAAACTAGCTAGCTCCATTTGGTGACTATGCGCATGCATGGGAATTGGGAAATGAACTATTTTCTGATTATTTGTATTTCAGTTTTCAAGCATGATTTAACGTAGAGTAGTGAGACTCCACCCGCTCTAAAAAAACGATGTTTTAGATTAGTGCACAATAATGAAAAATTATCAATTAGACATTACCTTTATTTGTTGAATGTGATCAGCTGATCAAGAAACAAGATGCTAATTAAAAACCTACTAGATGCAAAAATGTATTTTGATGCACAAGGAGTCGAACACTAGCCACAAGGCCATATGTTTCACAAATAGGGACAGTAACCAATCGAGCAATGAGAGACTAACGACAAGGGTTACCCATTGACTCTATTTAATATGGGCAAGCTACAAAATATAGACCCTGATTGTTTTTTAGGGGAAATATGGATTTCCACTAAATCATGTTCAAAATGAGTTCCTTATGGAAACCGGAGGGAATAAGGGCATCTTCAACTTTCAAGGCTACAATAATCCCTCAAAAAAAACTTTCAAAGACTATAATAGCATTACTCTATCTCCTAGCGTCAATGAGCAAGAGCACATGCAAGATGGTGATGAAAACAATGTTGACCTGAAGTCAAAGTCAAGGTTTGACTAAGTCAAGACAAGGTGACGTGAGCACTTAATTGGTGGACCGTTGGGCCAAGGACATAGCTAGAGAGCATGCATGTTGACATTGGATGGGCTTCTTATTGGCTACAAGGCTTTGGGGGGTTTGTCGGTTTCAGCCTCAAAACTCTGTTGGAGTGGTTTTTAGGTTTGGGTCTTGAAACCTAGAGGAGGATCTCGAAGCGACATGTAGCATCATTGGAGATCTTATGTCGAGGTGAAGTGAATTCATGAAGGGCCTATGGCCATTTGATGCATGAAGGACTAACTTCGACCATTTTGCCCATAATGGCTAAGTAGTTCATGCCTAAACCTAGGACAATTGTTGGAACTAATAGCCCTATAAGTAAGAGAAGTTCCTGCCCAAGATAGATGTCACATCAGTTCCTTGACACTATCTTTTTGAGTTTTCTAGTCAAAACCCCAACATGAGAAGGGAAATTCAGAATTCATGGAGAAACACGTGGATGTTTTTTACAAGATCTCTTTGGATTATAGCATAGTGATCTATAGAATCCATTTCCATCTCACACCTTATGAATTTGACATAGGCTTATTTATAAGCTTGAGAAAGTTATGGAATATCAAATTTCAAACCAAATAGCCTAATTCATTATGTAGATTTCAATTCCTTCAAAATGAAGGGATCCAAACAGCCACTTGGAGTAAATCCAGAACAATGTGAGCATCCATGTTCGAAGATTTAAATTCAGGTAGACAGGTTCCACCATAAGAAACTTATGCAGCTGGTAAGCACTTAGTTTGCAAATCTCATTCTTATTCTTTTAGTTGAGTTCTATAATATAAAACTTAGTAGATATAAACACCCCTTTAAATATTGATCGATTGATTACATCAACTCATCAAGGTTCTGAATCATAACACCGTTTGACAATTGAACATATGGCACTTTTTTTGCTCGAATATGTTGTGGCATGTGAGTAAACTGGCTAGCAAGGCAATGGCAACACATAAACTACAAATAAGAAGTGTCCATGTTCCTATGGACACCACTCTAGAAAATGTTGTTCCCAATATATATCCAGTAGTTTGTAGTGTGTGACGTCCACTAGTAATAGGTAGCCAAAAGAATTAAAATAAGGCACTAAATTCTCTAATATCCATCAACCATCTTTAATTAATTATTCCCCATTTATCATGAATACACCACACACTTCCAATGCAAACATTCCAGCAGTGTCAAGTGCATTGAAAGTCCTAGCTAGGTAGCATATTCCTCAACATATACCACGGACGGGCCGGGTGCCAATCTGGCCGGCCTCTCTTACACTAATTAATAATATAATACGGTCCACGGATGGCGTTGCAATAGCAAGTTGCAAATTGGCATGAATGAAAATATGACCGACGTGCGCAGCCTACATGCATGCTCAATTAATACTAGAGCAAAATTCACCGTCGGTCGGTGAACTTGGCCGCCGGTGTCATCCAGGTGCATAAACTTCTAAAGTAATATCTGTGGGTCTTTAAATTTGGCAGACGGTGTCATTTAGGCCCCTGAATTTTTAAGGTGATCACCACAGATCCCTAAACTTGGTCGACGGTGTCATCCCAGTCCCAGTCCTGAACTTTCTAGGTGATCACCGCAGATCCCTAAACTTAGCAAGCGGTGTCATCCCTGTCCAAATGTGGTCTAACCTATTCTATAAGCTAGCGTGACATGCTGAATCTAACCGTACGTTAGATGTGGATCCAATATGTGTCAATTAATCAATTATTATATATATAATATTTAACATGAAAATATAAATTATATAAAATAATTTACATCAGCAAAAAAATAAATTAAAGTATTAAAATAATTTACAACAATAAATATATTAGGTTTAAACTAAAATAGAAAAAAATTAATATTTATGTATCATTAATAGTATTAAAATAATATTAAAATTCCTATAGTATTAAAAGTTTTCTCTATTAAAGATTACTTCTAATTTTACTATTATTTTAAAAGTTTTAATAGTAGTATCGTAGAAATAACTTTTCTCTATTATTAATACTATAATACTATACTACTTTTAATAGTAGTATTATAGTATTAGAACTTTTAATAATAGTATTATAGTATTAAAAGTTTTAATAATAGAGTTATAGCATTATGGTATTAATAACAGAGAAAAGTTATTTCTATAATACTACTATTAAAACTTTTTAAAATAATACTAAAATTAGAAGTAACTTTTAATAGAGAAAACTTTTAATACTATAAGTAACTTTTAATATTATTACATTTGGATAGGGTTGACACCGCTTGCCAAGTTTAGAGATATGTGGTGATCACCTTAAAAGTCTAGGAACCAGGATGATATCGCCGGCCAAATTTAGGAACATGTGGTAATCACCTTGAAAGTTCAGGGACTAGATGACACTGTCTGCTAAGTTTAGGGACCCACATATATCAGTTTAGAAGTTCAGGGACCTAAATGACACCGTCAACCAGGTTCAGAGACCGGCGGTGAAATTCCCTCTTAATGCTATGAAAACCATGCATATTAGTGGTTCAGTTTTTTATCGGTTCTGGTCGTTCTCTCTCGTACACATATGCACAAATCTGCTATCGATCGATCGATCGATCGTTCGTTACACACAATGCAAGCTTGTTAGAGAGGCACTGTAATCACAGTCTATCCATGCCAGAGGCGTGATCTTAATCGAATTGTGTTTAAAAACATGCATGCATGCTCGGAATAGATTGGAGAGCGAATTATTGAAAATAGCCACGATACATGGAGATCCACAGAAGAATGCAATATGGGATCCATGCCGGTCAAGCAAGTTTGACCAAGTTTATAGTAAATATGATTAGTATTTATGTCTCCAAATAAATTTACTATAAAAATATATTTTATCATTAATTTAATGATACTTATTTTATATTATCAATGTTAATACTTATTTATATAATTTTGGTCAAACTAGAAATTGTTTGACTTCTCAAAAAACAAGAATTGCATTTTTTTAGACGGAGAGAGTATATCGATCATATGCTGGCATGCATGAAGCCAAAAACGACAGATATATATCCTATATAGATAGATGATATATACACACCTTGTAAGTGGTGGAAGAGCAAGGAGTGCAGCATCCCATCGGGTGAGCTCCCGCCAGCGAATAGCACGACGATGACGGTCGCCCCGACACAGATGGCCAGCAGGGCCTTCCTCCTAGTACTGTTGGAGGAGCACCTGCACGGCCACGGCCATGGCCACCATCTCCTCCTTACGGCCTCGTCCACCTGCAGGTCGGGTGCCGCGGCCGCCAAGGATGACATCGTCGGCGGCGGCCAGTTGATCGTACTGGTGATTCTTGGATGATGCGTATCCCCGCCGGGTAGTGGGGCTACGACTGCCGTCCTTCACGTCGTCATCTGCGCTCTTTCTATCTTTGTTTGGTTTGTTAATAAGTTGGTCTATGTGTATATATATAGCTACTAAAGCTAGGGAGCCTAAGCAGTTTAGAACTGAAGCTGGCTTCAAATCTATATCTATATCTAATACTAAAGAGGCAAAATTTCATGTCATTTTTTTCGTCCACCTCCACTAACTAACTCATTGAATGTGAAAAAGTGAAAAACTGTTGTTTACACCAAAATTTGGAAAGAAGAACGCGGGAAGTCGGTGACTATGTATACTTGAGAGTTTCACCCATGAAAGGTGTGAAGAGATTTGGGATGAAAAAGAAGCTTTCACCAAGATATGTAGGGCCATACAAGATTGTGGAACGAAAAGGAAATGTTGCTTATAAGTTACAACTTCCACCAGAGATGAGTGCAATATTTGATGTTTTTCATGTTTCTCAGTTGAAGAAATGTCTTCGAGTACCTGAAGAAGCTATTACACCCACCAACATGCAGCTTCAATCGGATTTGACCTATGAGGAAAAGCCAATTCAAGTTTTAGAGGAGTTGGAAAGAGTAACACGGAGTAAGATTATTAAGTTCTATAAGGTGGTGTGGAACAATCATAGTGAACAAGATGCTACGTGGGAAAGAGAAGATTATCTACGAGAAGTTTATCCCGCCTTTTTCCAAGAATGGTAGGTCTTGCAAATCTCGGGTCGAGATTTTTATAAGGGGGAGGGGCTGTAACACCTCGGGTGTTAGCCTAACATAACTTGCCTTGCATAACATGAGCATGATCATCAAGCATTCATAAACAAGCATTTACAACTGAAACATTGGATTGAAACATCTACAACGTTTGCTTGTTATCGCATGTTTCTTAAACAGATGCAACTTTTCTCGTTATTTCATGTCTCCATGTGTCTATGCATATGATCATGAGTGGACACATGTACTTGGTGGATGTGAGTCACACAAACATATAGCCACACCTAGGTTAGCAAATAGGACTTTGTTCTTGGTCACATTTCATGAACCAACACTTAAGCTTCATGTGATTACACTAAATAGCTCTATGAGTGTCTAATACATGAAATGATTGAATGACCTTGCAAATTGCTTAAACATGTTTAGAGTATCATTATGAACAACTTTGATATTCATGGTTAGGGGTAAATAGGTCATTAGGTCAGAGTTCAAGTACAAATCATCCTTTGAATGTAACATGTTTGACCAAGTTTGAACTATGTGCTAAAGACCTTGCATGGAGGTGGTCACTAAAGCAAAGTTGTAGTGTTTGGCAAGAGGAACAACTTTTATTTTTGGGTCATTGACTGATTTAGCTTCTAACATGCTTGAATTAGGCTCACAAAAATCATCAAATAACTGTTTTCAACACTTAGCACATTTTTGCCAAGTCAGTTAACTGACAGTCGGACAAGCCCGACTTTGGGGAGACATAAATCGAGATTGGTTGAGAATTAGGACTTGAGTTCTCAACGAGAATTGGAGAGGGTACTTAGGGATACAATTTTTGTTTTAGAATCATTCGGTGAATTGCTTTGTGTCGTGAGGAATTGCGCTGTCAAAACACGTCGTCAGGCTCGGCATTGCGTTCACTGACGAACTGAATTGCCGTTCTTCAGTGGCCGACACCGGCAGAGTCCGCGCACCGCGTGGACGTCGCGGCTGGCCGCGCGTCGCCGGCGCCCTGCCCCGTGCGGCCAAGCCAGGCCAGCGCGCGCCTTAACGCCCCCAGCACCCGCCCGCACTGAGCCGCACTTACCATTTCCATTTTTCTGCCTCCACCATCGCCGGCCGAAGCACCGCAGCAGCAGCCGAGTTTTTCCCCACCTCCGCCGTCGCCATAGCCAGCGCAAGCTCGTGTCTTGTCGCCCAATTGCCTCCGCAATAGCTCCTCCGTGATCCCTCCGTCATGCCGCAATCGTTTCCCTAGCCACGCTCGGTAAGCCGTTTCGCCGTGCAGACCTCGCCGGAGCATCACCGCCGCGCCCGTCATCGTGGCCACATCGCCACCGTCCATCCAAAATTCATGAAATTTGTTGGGGGTAATCCTAGTACCATATGGATGCTAAGAAAAATAGAAAATCTGTTGCTTGACACTTTTTAATAGGGTTTTCTAATTATGCTAATTCAAGCCTTGCTGCCTTGTCATTTTTGTATAGGATGTTTTACTTGCCAAAATGGCATGAAATTTTTACAATAGTCTATTGGTAGTAGTAGTAAGCCACTGTAATTTTCTGAGAATTTATGATGCACATTTGGTATAGGTTTATTATTTAACCTATGTGTCCAAATAAAATAATAAAGGCATTTAAATAAATAGTTTGGGCTTCACCATTATGTTTTCTTGGATGTATTTGGTATGCTTAAACTGTTGGTAGACTTTTGGTTGTAAAAATTTGAATACTTATATGAAGTAGAAGTATTGTTACTTTATAATGCGAATTGGAATAGTTTTCGGACAAATTCTAGAGTTTGCTAAGTTGCATGATAGGGATGATGTTTACTATAAAAATGGTTAATAACAAAATTGTAGATAATTTGATAAGCTTTCTAGAAAGTCTAGGATCACTGTATTTGGGTTGGTAGAACTCCTATTATGAGTAAAACAAGTAGCTGCTGTTTTGTGATATAGTAGATGCATTGTGGAAGTAGTAATTAAATAATCGAGAAGAGATATGCACCTACTCAATAAACATGATGCACTTGTTAACATATATGCATTCGTAATACTTATGCCATATTCATGCATCTAGGATCGGAGGAAGAGATAACGTTGCTGGAATTCGAAGAAGTAGAGGAAGGGGACCAGCAGGAGAATCCTCAAGTCGCAGCTCCCGAAGGCGAGGAGCAGAATCCTAAAGAGCTTCCAGAGTGCCCTGATCACCGCCTACTTCCTTTCTCTGATGAGGCAAGCCCCGGAGCATTCTAAGTCTCCCAAATTTTACAAATGATTACTTAAGTACTTATGATTGATGCATTAGGTTATAAGAGTTGAATGGAACCACTTGATGCATATACATTCCTTGTCCACTATTATACCTTTAACCGTATAGGTCCGAGGATCGAATATATGCTTAGCCATGCTTAGACCGGTAGAAGTCGGGTGATTTCTGTCACCGCGAGATATAGGTGGATACTTAGAGCACGGTTGGTTATAATTGCTATCGTGGAAAAGAACCATGGTTAATGTAAATGGAGACCGGTGGGATGTCGATAGAGAAGCAACAAGACATGGAGGTCTTGGGTGTGGATCTATCCCGTCAGTGTCGATTAAGGACCGTACCATTGTTGGCGCTTCTGACAAGATTGAACGCATGCCTCTCACTTAGCTGGCCGGATAACTCATTCCGACCGCGAAGCCGAGTAATTAAACTCGGGCGGGACCCGCTACATTGTCTGCGCTCCTTCCGGGAACGATCGGTGAGCCCAAGGGTAGGCTAGGCTCGAACGTCCGGCATCCGGTGTTCCAGACAGCTTGCGCGTATACGGACCCGCCGAAATGTGTACCTGAGTTGTACCAAAAGGTGACCTAAGGCTATCGTGGTGGTAGACCTAGGTTTGTGTTAGGAATAAATTCCCAGCTGGTTGAAATCGATTCGAATCGCCATCTCTCCCGGATAGTGAGAAACTTGGCTAGTCCCAACATCGTAGTAACTGTGTTATGGAATATGATGGTTCGAATGAATATGGAATTACAATACCTGCTATGGTTACTATTGTATGCTTTTAAATTTATATACCACATGTTTGGCACAGGATAGTTGCTAATCTAGAGATGGATAGTTATAAATAATTGATAAAGGAATCCTAATTGTACAATAAGCCAATTGCTTTTATGCAAAATGTTGTCAAGCTATCTCCACTTATACAGCCTTGCATAATCCTTGGAGTCATTTTATTTCTGGTTTATGACGGGTAAGTCTAGCTGAGTACCTTCTCGTACTCCGGGTTTTATTTCCCATGTTGCAGATGGCACTGTGTATCATGGTTATTGCAAGAGTTGCTTCTATCCCACCGTGGATGAGGAGTAAGCCTTAGGCAGGCTTCCTTATTAATCCATGTCTTTGCTTTTGTGGACAGTGATCCTACTTGGCACTGTATCAAACTATGTTGGAAACTTTATTTTGGAACTTAATTGCTTCCGCTTTATCTATCAAACTCGGTTTGTAATAACTTTTATTCGTACTCTGATGAAGAAATGTATCTATGAACTTTATGTAATATGTGGCATGTATGTTGAATCATGTACGATCTTGGTTGTTGTAAATCATTTATCGAGACCCGTCGTGGTACTCGACGGACTATCGGGTTTATATGGGTTCAAGTATGACAGTGCGACCGCTTGCGGGCTGCCATTGTACTTGTACTCTTATAAATTGGTCGGTTCTGCGACGGCTGGCATCAGAGCAAGATTCAACGTTAATTGTCACATGTGTATTTAAAACAAAAGTTTTTGTTTTCCAAAAACCCTTCTCTAGCAACTGATAGCTATATAATAGGTATTTGAAATCTAAAGTGTGCCAATGATCACTTTCCATATGCCCAAATTAAGGACTATTAGGTGGCTATTTAAGTACTAACATGGGGGTTTTTACTTCGTCGTCCATACGGCGTGCTATTGTATGAATGTCATTCACTTGAATGGTAATGAATGGATCAAATGCCTCTACGCCAAGGTAAGATGATGAGTGACATGACCGCAAGATGTGAGCGTGCGGTCGGGGAGAGTTAGTTTGGTACGGCTATGTATGCTTGCTTGTATGTGTATATGGTGCGTATTTAATTGTGGGTTTAAATTATTGTCAAGTAGATTGATACGGAAGTATATGTATGGGTATACATATATGGAAGTATTTACAATTATATTCTGCATATTTCATTATGGGTTTAGGGCTGAAATGAAA